ATACAATGTTTGATCAATTGGTTCTCCAGTAGGATCTTTGTGGAGCTTCTCTGTGGTGCTCATGGGATTTTTCACTGGTTTGGCATTTTCCAAACCAAACTTAGCGACAAGATCCTTTGCATATTTTGTTTGGGAGAGAAACATGCCAGCGAAATCTATTTCAGTAGAGCGTATGATGTCGATGGCCCGAGGTATTTCTCGTCATGATCGATCCACGTCCTATCGACCTACAAACCAAGAAAGTAATTCAATTCTCCACACATACTCATCTCAAATTCATTACTCATTATATCAGTAAATTCAGAAACTAAAAGATTAGAGGTAGAACCAAACACAATATCATCCACATAAACTTGAGCAACAACTAAATCACTTTTAACCAGTTTGACAAACAAAGTTTTGTTAATTGCTCCTCTAGTGTAACCATTTTGAAGCAGATATGAAGACAACCTCTCATACCAAGTCTGGGGTGCCTGTTTCAAACCATACAATGCTTTTTTTTCAGTTGGTAAACGTGACTAGGATGAAAATGATCTTTGAATCCAGCTGGCTGTTCCATGTAAACTTCTTCTTGCAACACCCCTTTCAGAAACGCACTTTTGACATCCATCTAGTACAACTTGATCCTGAGATGGCATGCAATTGCTAGTAATAATCTTACTGATTCCAATCTTGCTACGGGAGCAAAAGTTTCGTCAAAGTCAAGACCTTCCACTTGAGTGGAACCTTGAGCAACCAATCTAGCTTTATTGCGAATTACATTCCCTTTCTCATATGTCTTGTTTCTAAAAATCCACTTGGTACCAATAACATTGGCATCCTTGGGCCGTGGAACCAAGTACCAAACATCATTCCTTTTGAACTGGTTTAACTCATCTTGAATGGCTAAGATCCAATCATTGTCAACCATGGCTTCTTTGACATTTTTTGGCTCAATTTGAGAGACATAATACAAGTAGCTTATTTCTTCAACATCTTGACTTCGAGTTCTCATTTTATCATTGAGCTTCCCAATGATGTTTCAGGTTTGTGATCTCTTTTTACTTGCTTAGCTCCAGTTCTAAGTGTTTGAGATGATGTGTCATGGATGTCTTCTGAGTTTGTGATACTTGAAGCATCATTCACTGCAGCAACTTGATCACTCCTACTTTCTGTTTGTATTCCAATAAGATCATCATCATCCTTCATCTGTTTGACTTGGTCCAAATCAAAATCATTAATCACAACATTTATGGACTCCATTACAGCCTTAGTTCGAGTGTTATAGACCCTATAAGCCTTGCCAGTTAGAGAATAACCAAGAAAAATACTAATGTCACTCCTAGAGTCAAATTTAGCGAGATGTTCCCTATCTTTGTATATGTAACATGTACTCCCAAAGACTCTCAAATGACTGACATTAGGCTTTTTCTCTTTCCAAAGTTCATAAGGAGTTGCTTTTGACTTTGGTCTTAAATACACTCTGTTAGCAGTGTAACAAGCAGAACATATTGCCTCAGCCCAAAAATGTTTTGCCAAATTTGCAGAATTAAGCATTACTCTACTCATGTCAAGCAAGACTCTATTTTTCCTTTCAACCACCCCATTTTGTTGAGGTGTGATAGGAGCAGAAAATTCATGTGCAATGCCATGTTCATCACAAAATTCAGAAAAGAAATTATTCTCAAATTCTATCCCATGATCCATCCTTAGTCTAATGATGTTATCATGTTTTTCATTTTGAATTTTCATGCATAAAACAGTGAAAGATTTAAATGCATCAGATTTATCATGCAAGAAAGCAACCCAGGTAAAGCGAGTGAAATCATCCACAAGAACTAGTATATACTTTTTACCTCCCAAACTTAGATTTTGATTTGGACCAACCAAGTCCATATGCATAAGTTCCAATGGTTTTGATGTGGATGAGAAGTTGGTGGGACTGTGTGAGTTTTTGGTCTGCTTTCCTATTTAACAATCACCACAAACTCCTTCTTGTTTTCCACTTAATGTGGGCAGCCCACTTACATATTCTTTCTTTGAAATTTTGATTAGATCTCTAAAATTCATGTGTCCTAATCTTCGATGCCATAGATTAGTGATATTGTTTTCAACCCTGTAGCAAACATTCAAACCATTAGCCATAGCACAATAGCAATTATCATCAGACCTTGGTCCACAAATGACCTTTTCACCTATTTTTGTACTTACTATGCATTCAATTTCATCAAATATAACCTTACCAAAGTCATCACTTAGTTGACTAATACTCATAAGGTTTGCAGTAAGGTTTTCAACAAGTAAAACATTATGCAAAGCAGGTAAACCAGGAGCTTTAACTGTACCTTCACCCAAAACCTTGGCTTTCTTACCATCACCAAAGGTTACCGTGCCTCTTACCTTTTTATCTGAGAATGACTGAAACCAACATTTATCACCTATCATATGCCTTGAACAATCACTATCAAAGTACCACTTGTTAGAGTTGCAAGAATCCAAGGCAGTAAAGGCAACAAAACATTTGAGATCATTAGACTCAATTGAAGAATGAGCAAGTACGTAGCATGTGATTCATTCACTGATTTAGTCCTTTTCTTTTCTCTCCACACAAGTTTCATCTTAGGCAAATAGGAATTTGGAATATGAACGAGTTTAGACAACCTATTCACTTCTCTCAAGAGATTTGAGAGATGAGTACGTGATGCACCAATAGAAAAATTATCAGAATGATTCAAGTATTTTTTGTCACAAGAAGGTCGAATATGACCTACCTCACTGCAAGCATGACAAGTAAGAACACAAGTCTTAGGCATAGCACACGTACCTGAAGCTTTCACAAATTTTGTTCCTGAAGAACTATCAGTGGAACCATCAAAACCCAAACCAGTTTTATCTCCACTGGATTTTCCAATACTGAGCATTTTGTCAATCTTTTCCGCGCCAATGGTTAATCTTATGATTTTTTCTTTAGAAGCCTCAAGTTGTGAAGTTAATGACTTGTTTTCTTTCTCAAGTTCAAACAATCGATATTGAAACACAGTTTCGATCCTACATTTCTCAGTTTCCAAATTTTTCAATTTTTCTTTCATGTCAAAACTATGCTTTCTAATTTTTACAGAGACATGATAAAGTTCATTATATTTTTGAAGTATTTCTTCAGCATCAAGCTCCAGACTATCAGATTCCTCAAGATCATCGATATTTGCAAATCCCACAAATGCAACTATCTCACTTTCCGAATATGAATCTAATTCACTGTCACTCCAAGTACTCTTCATGGCTTTGTTTTTTTTTTTTCAGATTTTAATTTCTTCAAGGTGTTAGCACATTCTTTTGTCTCATGTCCAAAACCCTGACATTCATAGCATTTTCGACCCTCAGTTTGTTTAATAAGTCTGGAACTTTTTGCAGAATTAAAATTGTTTGACTTGAAGGGTTTAGATCCTGAACTTGTTCCTTTTCCCTTAAAATTTTTACTCTTGAGAAATTTTTTAAACTGTCTAGTGATTAGAGCAAATTCCTCATCACCAATTTCCTCACTTTCTTCACATTCTTCTTTTATAGCTTTTAGGGCAATGTTTTTACTCCTTTTCACAGTAGGAAGCTCCATTTCATCGGTTTTCAAAGACCCAACTAATTCTGCAATTTTCATTGTGTTTAAGTCTCTAACTTCTTCAATTGCAATTTTCTTAGGTTGAAACCTAGAAGGTAGTGATCTAAGAACCTTTTTGACAACTCTAGATTCAGGAATTTTATCCCCAAGATTAGCACAAGCATTGATGATACTATTTAACTTAGCATAGAAATCAGAAAAGGTTTCATCTTCTTCCATTCTAATAATTTCAAATTGATTGACATACCTTTGAAGCTTTGACTCTTTAACAGCATTTATTCCTTCATAGGTGACCTGCAAGATATCCCAAGCCTCTTTGGAGGTCTCACAATTTGAAATATTAGAAAACTGATCAGGAGATAAGGTAGTAAATAGAGTGTTTAACCCTTTTTGATTATTCATGGAATGAGTTTGATCAGCCAGTGTCCATTCTTCATGAGGCTTGAGAACAACTTCCTCAACGACAATGTGTTAGACTTGAAAATTTGTCACACGTGAAGGGATGAGTGTTGAGAATGAATCCCATATTGATGAGATGAGGGATCTTATATGGGTTTATAAATAAGTTGGACTTCTCCCCAAATTGACAATTAGTTTATGGTGGAACCTTAATTTTTTTTTCATGTTTTGCACATGCAATCACAAAGAATGTAAAACTCGGTGAGAAAATTGTTGCAGCAAAAAGAAGAAATCAGGATCCAAAATCGATCAGAATCGAATGTTTGAGTGAGTTGGTGGTTTAATCACCATCTATAGGTTTGAGAATTTGTATCCCTAACAATTTTGAAAATTTATCTTCCATTTTATGGGTTTTCAGAATGTTGGATGATAACACAAGTGGAATCGTTTTACTGTCAAATGGTAGTTTCTTTGCTTGTGCTTACTAATTTGTATGGTATATTGGCAACATTAGTTATATAGATTCAGTGAATTTTGTAACGAATTGGAGTGTGCATGATTCCTTTGTTCACATCACAGGTGGAAAAAAGCTTTACTTCACAACGTACTACGCGTGACGTAAAGAAGAATTTGAAATATCTTTTTAGTTGTCAATTAGGTCATCAATTTAGTCTATTCCCAAATATAAATGCGAAAAACAAAATAAAATTATAGCGGTGTGCTATCCACACACCTCTTTTTACTTCTCACACACCCTTATTAATTTCTGTCCGTTGATCTTCTTCAATTCATCTAATCTGATGGCTGAAAATCAAAAAGGTATGAGAGAAGTAAAAATGGGTGTGTGGATATCACACCCCAAATTCTATACGTCGCGTGTAGCGTGCAATGGTTGAAAAAAACAAATCTTTCGCATGTGCGCATAGGAAAACTAGTAATGTAATAATGCTTTGATTATAGAAAGGTTGTCCAAGTATTTTTTGATAAAAAGGGTTTTGTGAAGATTTGTCAGGATAGTAGGAAGATGTTGACGAGGCATATATTCTAAAAACTAGAAAGTGCCGGTAATTACCTCGCCTTTCCAGATCCGAGCTTGAAACTGGAATCATACATATATCCATTCCGATCTGTTTCAAATTCTGCACACACTCCTAAACCAAATTTTCAGATCTTCTACAAGAACAAAAGAGAATGTCAAGCTACTCACACCCTCCTCCCGGCTATGGCTATGGCTACGGCTACAGCTACGGCAGCGCTTCACCTCCAGGTCAACCCTACGGTGCACCGCCGCAAGGGCAGCTCCAACACCAACAGCACCAGACAGCCCAACCCTACGGTGCTACGTCTGCACCGTACGGCTCTTCATACAAGCCAGAGAAGCCGCACAATCCAGCTAAGCCTCTCAAGAATCAAGCCAGCGGAGGTGGATACCCCGCGCCTGCTCCGAGTTACGGCAGCCTGTTCGCGGCTTTGGTTCCATCGGTGTTCCCGCCGGGCACGGATCCGGAAACCATAGCTTGCTTTCAGCTGGTAATCAGGACGGCAGCGGCTTCATCGACGACAATGAGATGCAGAGAGCTCTGTCGTCGTACAATCAGAGCTTCAGCTTGAGGACTGTTCATCTTCTCATGTACCGTTTTACCCAGACCAACACCAGGAAGATCGGTAACAATTTACAAACCCTAACAATCCATGCATGCATATCTGTGTAAATTTCTCGTCGAATTTGAAATTTATGCTCACCACCTACTTAATACTGTTGAAGGAGTTTAATTTCTGATATTTATGTCTATCAATTGTACAAATCTCAAAATGTAAACTTATTGTGATAAATAGAGTGGTAAACGTTACCATCTTTTGAGAGTGGTGAATTAAAATGTTTTCGTTTCAAAGAATTACTTATTTGGAAAGAGACCACTGCCATCATGGTGACTTAGTCCATCATGTCATGTGTAAGTTTTTTTTTACATGGCATGACATTTCATTAGTGGACGGTGACACCACTATCATGGTGAAGGCGTTCTGTGCAAGTTTTGTGTGCGGCTTAATATGCTAATTTGCTACAATTTATCCTTCTAGCTTTCAGTGTAGCACAATTCACTATTAATTCAATGAAATAGTAGATAATAATGATGTTTATTGTGTGTGTGTGTGTGTGTGTGTTGGGGGGGGGGGGGTAAATTGTGAGAACAGGGCCCGCTGCAGTGTTCTACAATCTTCAAAGTTGGAATGTATTTGGTACTATTTCAGTTTTCAGAAAATGAAAACCAAAAATCAAAAATTCAAAATTACTTTCTTGAGTTTTTTGAAAACCAAAAATCAAAACTTAAAACCTACCTTCTTGAGTTTTCAAAAGAGGTATGCTATTCACACACTCCTCTTTACTTCTTACACATATCTTATTAATTTTTGTCCATTGATATTCTTCAATTCATTTGATCTGATGGCCGAAAATTAAAAGGGTGTGAGAAAAGTAAAAAATGATGTGGATATCACACCCCTTCCAAATTATGGCATTGAGTTCATTTTTTTGAAAACTGTAAGTAGTTACCCGACAAAATTTTAGTTTTAGTTTAAAAAAAAAAGTTGAAAACTAAACACTAAAACCAAAAACTGTAAAATAAAAACTCAAAACGACATGGTTATCCCACCACGGCCTCTAAGATTTTGTGTTTTAATGTTTGTTGGAAATTAACTGTTTTGTAATTGGTGTGGTTGATCAGGGTATATTTGATAGGTTTGACCGAGACAGAAATGGGTCAATTGATGCAAATGAGTTGAGAGATGCACTGCTGAGTCTGGGATTTGCTGCCGTCTCGCCTGTAATTTTGGAACTGCTGGTCTCTAAATTCAACAAGACTAGAGGCAGAAAGAGGAATATGACAATTTCATCGAGTACGTTTCCTTTTCCTTTTTTTTTTTTTTTTTTTTGCTATATTCTTTTTGTGGGATTGATTTGAGGATCAAATTCTTAAGCATTAGATATTTATTGCATTTACTTTTGGTAATATTTTATAGGGTAATGATAATGAGACTAAATATGTAAACTAAATGATATGGAAGTTAATGATTAACGTGTTTATTTCTTATTTGTGACACATCATTTAGTTTACAAATTTAGTCTACCTAGCAGCTTATCGATGTCTGATTATTCCTTGTTCGTTTGTTTTGGTAAAACGCAGGTGCTGTCTGACTGTTAAGGTGAGTTCCATTTTCACTAAGGTATATATTTTGTGTACGTAATTTATAGTTTTAATTGGTGAACTTCTACTCAGTCATTTGGCTTTAAATTTTACTCCTGCTTTGATCTTTGAGCTTTATTAATCTGTTCTTGCTATCTAGCGAATTTTAAAAGCCGCGGCGTGCAGGTTTATTCTGATTTATGCGTAGTTCGCATGGTTGAGTATTCAAAACTTTAAATTATTGCTGCAGTTAGTTGACAAGCATTTCAAAAAGAGAACAAACAACCCTTTATTTTTTTAGAGTTTTAACGAAACACTCCTGATACTGTTCATTTTTAACGAAAAACTATATTTTTACCTTTCTCTAGTATTATTCACTACACCTTTATTTGTCTTTTTTCATTAAAACTAAAGTTTTTTTGGACTTGTGTTAATTTTCCTTTATTTTTTCCTTGCTTTATTTCTTGGCAGGGAAACCATAAAATCGTTGTTCATCACTGGTTTTCACAACATTAACAGCTTGCAAAAATGGCTTTCATTATCTCAAGAGGACAAGCAGTGGGTTAACCGATCAACTGTAGATACTTAATGGAATGTTTTGTTTTGTGATTCTTGTGTCTTTCAGGGATTAACCGAGAAATTTAAGGAGAAGGACAAAGCGTACACTGGTATGGGAACTTTCACTTATAAGGATTTCATGTGGACTGTCCTGCCATTCCTCATTGCGTAGGTTGTTAGTGTATAAGCTATTGAGCTTACTTTGAAATTAGAAGTAAATAAGCCCTGTATTTAATTGTGTATTCACTTTGGTAATTTCACCAAGTGTAGGGCTCATATTGTAAAAGGGTCTTAGTAACAGGTGTAAGGATCTCTTTGTATCCATCTAGATGTGTGGCTGAGATCATCTTTTCTGATATACTTTGTAACCCATCCGGTGTGCACAGTGTGTGTGCATGAAGGAATAAATTTATAGATTTCTCTGCAAGTTAGTACAGAGAGCACCACCATCAAAATCTTCTCTCCATTGCTTTGATCTGTTTTTCATTCCTATTCCTACTCCTCCTTCATCTACAGAATAACTAATAGAACTTTAACATGGCCTCAGAGCCAGGTTCGATCATTTGAGATCTAGGCGTAAGACAAATCGAGCTACACTCGAGCTTGTTCCGGATTGGGTGACGTTGCCGGAATTTCATAAAACTCGATTTTGATTTGTATTCGCATCATCAAAGCTCGAAGATGGCTGGATCTAGAAGTTCTGAGGTGAGAACTCTGATCTTCTCCGGTGAGAACTACGAGTTCTAGAGAATCAAGATGGTGACGATTTTCAAATCTCATGGGTTATGGAAATTTGTAGAAAAAGGTGTTACAGTTTCAAACTCAAAGAAGGAAAAGATTGAAGGAAGCTTAGGAGAAGAAGACGATGAGAAAACTACTGCTACATATATGCAGGATGCAAAAGCTCTGGGTATTATTCAGAACGCAGTCTCAGATCAGATATTCCCTCGGATAGCTAATGCAGATTCTGCGAAGATGGCATGGGATCTGTTATATGGCGAGTACCATGGTGGTGATCAGGTAAGACCTATGAAACTACAAAATCTGAGACGTGAATTTGAGTATGCTAGGATGCGTGATGATGAAACTCTGTCTGGGTATCTTACTAGGCTAAATGAATTGATTAATCATATGAAAACATTTGGTGAGATTCTGTCTAATGAAAGGCTTGTACAGAAGGTTCTGATTAGTTTTAGTAAACCATATGATCCCATATGTCTAGTTATCGAAAATACCAAGTGCTTAGAGACTGTAGAACTACAAGAAGTTGTAGCAATTTTGAAGAGTCAAGAACAACGATTTGATTTGCATAGTGTTGATACCAGTGAAAGGGGCTTTTGCCTCACTCTCTGTGACTCAAAAAGGGCAAACCAGTAGTAATGCTCAGTCTGGTACATTCAAATCATATAAGCACTTAAATTCGAAGGGAAAGAAATGGGAGTCAAAGTCTAAGTTTCAACAAAGGTCATTCACTAATCCTACACAGAATTCAACTTCTCCTGGGTATATGAAGCAAGATACAGCTAAACCACAGTGTAAAGTGTGTTCCAAATTTCATTTTGGTGAATGTAGGTATAAGGGGAAGCCTAAATGTTATAATTGTGATAAGTTTGGACATTGGGCCAAGGAATGCACAGCAGGCAAGGTCATTCAAAAGGCAAACTATACCAATCAAACAGAAGTCACTGGAAATCTGTTCTATGCCAACAGTGCAATTTCTGAAAACAAAATGAATGGAAACTGGTATATTGATAGTGGGTGCAGCAATCATATGACAGGGAATGCAGATCTTCTTGTCAATATAAGAACTAATGTTGCTGGAAAGGTTCAAATGCCCACTGGTGAATTGGTAAATGTTGCAGGAATGGGTTCTTTGGAAATTGATACAAATAAAAGAAAGAAGTACATCAGGGAAGTCATGCATTTGCCCGAGTTGAAAGAAAACTTACTAAGTGTGGGGCAAATGGATGAGCATGGATACTACCTATTATTTGGAGGAAACATGTGCAGTGTGTTTGATAGACCTTCACTGGAGAATCTTGTCATCAAAGTAAGGAAGAAGGAAAATAGGTGTTATCCTCTCTCCCTATTGGAAAATACTCAGTTTGCTCTGAATGCTAGTATTGGTCCAGATTCTACCTGGATTTGGCACAAGAGATTAGGACATCTAAATCTCAGGAGCCTTAAACAACTTAGGGAGCATGAAATGGTGCATGGTCTTCCACAACTTGAAGATACTAAGGGTGTGTGTGAAGGGTGCCAGTTGGGAAAACAACATCGTGACTGGTTTCCAAAAGAGCAAGCTTGGAGAGAAAGTAACCCCCTAGAGCTGATACATACTGATCTATGTGGCCTTATGCAAACTGAATCAGTTGCTGGAAATAAGTATTTCATGCTTCTAATTGATGATCATACCAGAATGTCGTGGGTCTATTTTCTGAGACAAAAATCTGAGGCTCTAACCTGTTTCAAGAAATTTAGAGCTATGGTGGAATTACAAAAGGGTCTCAAAATAAAATGCCTAAGGAGTGACAGAGGAGGAGAGTTTGTGTCAAATGAATTCAATGAATTCAATGAATTCTTAAAGATTGAAGGGATTCAAAGACAACTATCTATGGCCTATACTCCACAGCAAAATGGAGTACTGGAGAGGAAGAATAGAACGGTTGTAGAAATGGCTAAGGCAATGCTTCATGATAAAAGCATGCCATACTTTCTGTGGGCAGAAGCAGTACACATAGCTGTGTACATTTTGAACAGATCACCTACAAAAGCACTCAATAATTTAACACCATTTGAGGCTTACAGTGGTAGAAAACCAGGGGTTGGTCATCTAAAGGTGTTTGGATCAGTATGCTATGTACATGTACCATCTGAGACAAGACAAAAGCTGGATGCTAAGAGTGTTAAATGTGTCTTT